GTTACGCTGCCTCTGAAAGATCTCCTCAAGAACTCACTGATTCAGAACAAATTATCCATATTTGGAATCAGCGTCGAGAACACCATAGGGTCACATACATCTCATATTACAAACCTCAAATCAGACTTCCACTTGATCTTCACAAGCGCACAACGCCGTATACGGTAATCACTTTGATCTACCGTCGATGCCGGCCGACCAAAAAAACGCGTCCCGCCGAAATCGAGGGACCGGCAAAAAGCGAGGGACTGTGGACATTGCGGAGACGGCAGACGGCCATACGAGGGGTCGGCGGCAACTATCGACATCGAAACCACACATCTGAGTATTAAAAGCAAATATCAAGGTAAGATTCAGACCGATCTTACCATATAAACTACACATGTTTTTTTCAAAAGGCAAATATCAGGATAATGAGACGCTGCAGCTTTGGGGGGGGACGAACCAGCCCGAAGCATGGGTCAGACTAAACGCTGACTTTTAGGACTAGGCCTTTAAAGAGAAGAAGAAATTTGTGATGCGTGCGATTCCCATTTTTTTCGAAGTCCCTCTCCGTTAGGCTTAATCTTAGTGAGCTTCCTACAGACAGCCCCCCCCCCCTCTCAAGGCGCATTGCGCTCATAGCGAGGTTTAGGTGACGTCATTGAAACCACGCCGCCCTCCAGTCACCGTCGTCGCCAAATAGCTTTGGTTCAGACACCGCTCGTATCGATCGATTCTCCAGATGTGATCACACCGTAGCGCTGTTACGCTGCCCTGAAAGATCTCCTCAAGAACTCACTGATTCAGAACAAATTATCCATATTTGGAATCAGCGTCGAGAACACCATAGGGTCACATACATCTCATATTACAAACCTCAAATCAGACTTTCCACTTGATCTTCACAAGCGCACAACGCCGTATACGGTGATCACTTTGATCTACCGTCGATGCCGGCCGACCAAAAAAAAAACGCGTCCCGCCGAAATCGAGGGACCGGCAAAAAGCGAGGGACTGTGGACATTGCGGAGACGGCAGACGGCTATACGAGGGGTCAGCGCCAGTGCTACACAAGTAGGGTGGGCACGCCGCATTTTTGAAAAAAATGTATGTAAGTGGGACTGCTGCTCGCTACTATATCTATCACGAGAATCGGGGAATCGTAAGCCAGGGGGAGTGTAGCCAGTCCAGGGGTGAGGGGTGAGGGCAGTCACTTGACATACGTGAAAAGCTGGCGTGCCCACCCCACTTGTGTAGGTCCTCGGCACTAATCATCGACATTGAAACCTTGCATCCTGAGTAATAAAAGCCAATATCGAAGTAAAATTTCAATCAATGTTCACCATACAAGGTGTACATCATTGTATAGCGATTTCGGCATCGATTCTAAATACAGACTGTTTACGATAACGTTTATCAAAACCGCACAGCCTTCCATTCACCATCGTCGCCAAAATAGCTTTGGTTCAGACACCGCTCGTATCGATCGATTCTCCAGATGTGATCACACCGTAGCGCTGTTACGCTGCCTCTGAAAGATCTCCTCAAGAACTCACTGATTCAGAACAAATTATCCATATTTGGAATCAGCGTCGGGAACACCATAGGGTCACATACATCTCATATTACAAACCTCAAACCAGACTTCCACTTGATCTTCACGAGCGCACAACGCCGAATACGGTGATCACTTTGATCTACCGTCGATGCCGGCCGACCAAAAAAAAACGCGTCCCGCCGAAATCGAGGGACGGCAAAAAGCGAGGGACTGTGGACATTGCGGAGACGGCAGACGGTTACACGAGGGGTCGGCGCAACTATCGACAAATCGACTCATCTGACTATTAAAAGCAAATATCAAGGTAATTCAAACGCGAGTTACCAATAACCTGCACATCATCTATGCGATATCATCACCAATTTGGACAATTTGCGATAGGTTATACAATAACCGCACCGCCCTCCAGTCATCATGATCGCTGCCTTTAAATCTTAAAAAGTTATGATCAGAGGAATGTTTTTTTGAGCTCTTCCAGGTTGTTCTTCCCGGAAATCGTCATTTGATACCTGTAGGACCCGACGCCCCGCTGAGCTCAGAAAGCGAGCAAACCAGTCACTGGTTCGCGCGATGTTTCAGTGATTCTTGCTGACAATTGGACGTCTGTTTGCCAACCGACCTTCGACCTTTAGCGTACATAAATTCGCTTTCCGACATACGCTCAATCTATCTCACGTCCAAATGATCAAACAGTTCTCCCAGTTTTCACTTTTTTTGACACATGCTGTCTTTTTTACAACCTACTCATTTTGAGCTTCTCTACTGGACAGATTCGAAAAGATTGCCCCTTCATATTCACAGGGCATTCGTATCTATTATTTCATAGCAATAGAAAATTATGTCTTCTCTCCTTCAGTAAATAGATAAATGTGTCGGGCTGTCCTCCGCGTGCATTCCATCCTTCATGCATTCCGGATTAAGACACTCTCGCGAGCTCGGGTTTGAGCAAACTATGTTTTTATGGAGCAGGATTTGACCCATTGGGCTGTGCAGATGCTGGCATTTAGTGCAGCCGATACACCACCAGCTCCTACTTCGATTGATTCGAGTATCAATTACTGCCAAAAACCCTTATTGCCCTCTCTGCTGTTACTATAACACTGTAGTCATAGTTAGCAATGTTCTGGGGAGTATAAAATCGGCTCCGCACAGTCCTGTCAGGCATTTCTTCCAGGAAACCTGACAGGAAGCTCGTCGCGCGGTGAGAAGGCAGAGACGCAGACGGGTCAGCGGACGAGTCGCAGCGATTAATGTGGCGATTTAGGGTCAAATTACTACAGTATCTATTATAATTATTATAGCAGCACATCATAAATACACGCGGTGACTCGTCCGCTGGCTTGTCTGCGTCTCTGCCCTCTTGCCACGCGGCGGGCATCCTCTCGGGTAAAAAAAAAAGAAAAAAGAAAAACAAAAGAAAAAAAAAAAAAAAAACAAAAAAAATAACCTTTCTTTCCCACCTGGTCTGAAGGATTGGTGTCAACTTGGCTGACAGCATGAAAGGCCGCTAACTTTAACAATGCCTGGTGCTGATGAACCTAAAGTCACATCCCACATAAGTGAAATTTTCCCAAGCGGTGTGCTAGGCAACGAAATGGGTCAATTCGACGGTCGTGTGGTCATCGTCCTGGTAACCATTTTACAGCTTTCTTCACCTGGTTCTGAGACGTAAATGAGTAGCAGGCTCTCAAACAGCCAGGTTAGTCCTGAGTACGTCAAGAATCCTTTACAGGGTCATCCAATGGAATTGGTCGTGCTGCTGCCGTAATGTTCGCCAAAGAAGGAGCGATGGTGACAATTTGTGGCCGAGACGAGAAAACACTGAACGTTGGTCCCGAAAACTTGTTCCAAGATATAAAGTAGCTTCTTGCCCACTTAAAATAAGCAAAATTTCAAGGAAACAAAATCGATGGTGCTGGCGGTAAACGGAGGCGATGAGAAAAAGGTTTTCCTGGCTCGTGGTGATATTTGCAAGGAAGAGGTGATGAACGACATCGTTGATGGAACCGTCAACGCGTTTGGTCGATTGGACGTCTTGGTATGTCTTTGCTGGTGAGATTTTTGGGTTGAATGAGAACTGACGGTCAGTTCTTATGGGATAAGCCGTGCATTCGTCACCTTGCTCAAAATCTCGGAGCATTCTGATTGTGTGTAACCCAACTTCCGTTCTCTCGGTTGGAGTTGAACACGCTTGGATCCTACCAAACCCCACAGCATCTCTAGAAACTATTTCAGCACTGTTCTTCTTTTCAAGACCTAGAAACTACTGAGTTTGTAGAACCTTATGCTGATGACCCAAGTGAGCAGTTCAACCTCTTTTGCAGGTGAACAACGCTGGTGGAACCAACAGCGGTGACTGGCAAAAGCCAGAATTGGAGTGTGACTTGAGCAATTTTGAGTACACCCTTGATTTGAACACCAAAAGGTATGACGGTATGGCCGATTCCATCACGTGAATTCCCTTGAATTACCGTATTCAGCGTTCTTCGCCTGTGTCAGTTGGCCTTCCCACATCTGATAAAAAGCAAAGGCGAAATTGTCAATGTGAGCAGTATCGCGGGCCTGTCAAACGGAGCAGTGAGTTTTCGTACTTCGTTCGTTGATTGACGGTTCGATAAAAATTCTTTATTCTTTAGTCAATACCGTCGCCATACTACAGTATCGCAAAAGCGGCACAAGACCAGCTGACGCGTAACCTCGCCATTTACTATATCCAGAAAGGTGTTCGAGTGAACGGCGTCAAGTGAGTACAAATAAAGCCAAAAGAAACAGAGGATAGCAGATCCAGTGAGACCCCTTAGTTTGAGTTTCATTTCAACCACAGTATGGTTAGAGCCCAGATTATGAAAGAGAGATCAGACGGCAGGCGGGCGAGATAGCACGGGAAAGAGTGAGGCGCAGGGTGTCCGTGATGTGAGCTGCGGCGGTCTTAAAAAGGATGAGTGGAGTCGCTTGGGCAACATAAACCCCTCGCTAGGGCCGATTGGCCCTTGTGCCGATTCCAGAAACGGTCCCCCTACTCTTAGAAGGGGTCTTGACACGACCCACCACCACCACCATCAGCCTTGGGAGGGTCTCCCCAATAAGACCTCCCACACCAGCCCTAACCAATATCCTAATCATCATGAATGTTAATATATGTAGTATTTGGTTCCTAGAGTAGCTAGCCAATCACCCAACGCCGCTCTCTTTTCCTTCCAAAACTGCCCTCCCAGCCGGAGTGGGGGTGGAGGATGGGGAGGGTAAAAATATGGCCGACCACATCGCATATTCGAAAATGTTTGAATTTTGCCCATTTCATGCCTCTTTTTAAATTTCTCAACGAAATCGTCAAAAAATTCGGCAAAAACTACCCAATGCCCCTTAACCACGACCCCATCAAACGTCAGGTCCCATACGACCCTCCTCCCCCCATTGAAGACTACGCAACGCACGGTTGACTCTGCCCTCGCGTCCTTTCCGAGCACTATTGAGCCATCAAATATACGTAATCCTCACGCGTAGGCCTCCTCACCACCCCCTGAAAGGTCCCTTCTAATCAACTGACTGTGGGGTTATCCTTGAACACAACGTGTCGATTTCTTTGAAGCACCACAACACAACTGAGGTACAAATCGAAATCGATGATAAGCAACTCAAACGAATTATTCTAGCCCTGGTATGATTTCAACAAATTTCGTGCAAAGGCAAGGGATTCCAGCTGAGCTTATGAGAAAGGTAAGGCAAATTATTGGTAAAGCTGCTCGGAACAATCGGGCCCTGGTTTGGTTTACATTAATAGTCATCTACCTGAACTTCTACCCATTACGTTAACACTTTGCGTGCTTCCAGGTGGAACAGGAAATCGCTGCTTCACCTTCGCGTGTCCCGTGTGGTCGCCCTGGAACTCCGGATGAGGTGGCCGAGGCGATTCTCTTCCTGGCCGATAGGTACACAGAATTTTTGTTATTATTGATTAGTGCAATACGGGTTGCTCTTACTTTCACAGGGACAAAATTCAGCTTTCTGCCTGAGAACTGCCCTTACCTTGTGGGCGACGGTATATTTATTTGACTCCATGATTCTGGACATATCCAGTTCATTAAATGTGATTCACGCCTTGAGCTTATAGCCGAGACCAAAAACTAGAAGCCCTGACATTATTGCTCTCTTTTGCCCTTGAAAAGGCCAAACTCATGCCCCTAATAATATTTCTACATATAAACTATCCAATAGGGCCATGAAGCGTCCTAAACTTTGAGGATAAACGCTGCGAGGCACATACGGCTAATGCATAGATATTGGATAATGCATATGTAATGCCCCCACAAATAAAAGTGAACCCGCATAGTGGACCCCTAAACACCGAAAATCTGCAGTATAAAAATCTCCCCATAAGTGACGAGCGAGCGCACGAGAAAGGAAGTCTAGGAGGATACACTGCGCAAAAGAACAAAAGCGGGGGCGAGAGAGCATGGGAGCTATGCGAGATGCAGACATTGACGCGCATTCGCAATTACACGCGCTTTGAGGAGTGGGGCATGGAATGTCCACGGATGCAACTGTGACCGTTGCACGCCCCTAGTTTCGCTTGCCCGTGGTTTGGTAGCCAGTGCACGTTCGCCATAGCGCACTTTTAAGCTTTGGCAGTGTCTTTGTAAAGGCATAGGAAACATCGTGACAGTAAAGGCAGGGGATACGATAACTTGTTCGCCCGTTGAAAATGTGACTAGAGCTGCTGATAGGTGCAGCAAATGAAACAGGGCAAAGGAACAAGTCCACAAAATCTGAAATCCAGAAAACAGGCGGTGGGCGGGGGGGGCGCTGTCCGCCCCGGTGATAATGCAGCGGAGGAGATTAATCCGTGCTGACGTCATCAATGTAATGTTTTGCTTGAGTGTCCCCCTAGAGGCCCATCGCGCGGCAAAGGACGAGTCGCAGCGCATACTGTAGCGGTTAGGCGTCAGGTTAAATAGAGTGTACCACACTACGTCTCATATCGCACAGCACGCGCTGCGACTCGTCCTTTGCCGCATCTGCGTCTCTTCCTTCGCCGCGCGGCGATGGGCCTCTTGGGGGACATCACACATTTTAACTGTCGGTGAGAGGGGGCTAAGATTAGCAGCTAAGGTAGTCACTCCATGGGAAGGACCGGCGAAGCTTTGTTATGTCATTACAAGCACCCTTGGCCGCGCAAGCGCCACCTGGTTCCTCAGGGGCCTGGCCTTCTTCTGTAGTAAGCACAGTGAACCTTTTTTTAGAATCAATTTTATCGTGTCATCTGCCTTTAGATAACAAAAGGTAAAGTGTTTGTTATTTGATATTATGTTTCAGGCATAAGATCGAGTTACATAGTCGGTCATCAGCTGGTTATTGACGGTGGATCGTCCTTGCAAATGCCACTGGTAGCAGATGGGCTCAAGATCTTCGCTGATGTACTGGGAGGTGTTTCGCCACCCAAAAAGCCGAATACCACAACGTAACAACGAAATTCACTCCCTACCTCCTCGTTTTCTCCAATTCTTCTGACTGCCAATAAATATGTATTCGTTTTCAATGGAGATGTTTGAAAAACGAGTTAGAATTGAACACATCCGCGGTTCTTTTGAGGAGCGCGCCATTTATGAGAAGCCGTATTAACGTCCGCATGCATTTGGGGGGAGAGGGGGGACTAGAGGTGGCAAAAGTCGCTTTGCTCACAACGCACATCGACAGAGCTCACGTTCCAGTGAAAGTGCTATGGCCCTCGTGAAATAAATCAATAATAATCATTTGAAGGCAAACCGCCCAGGATCAGCCCGACTTGTGAGAGGATACCGCCAGGGATATTGCAAGGTCTGTACCTACCTAGATACTCCAGCTTCGTCGGCAACTGTGCAGTTCCAGGGCGCTAATCCTTACGTCCTGCCACTATTGAACCTCGCGTTGGCAAAACGCTTTCCACTGTGTAGAGATTAGCATGCCCTCGCGAATGGCGAGACTTCTCGCGTGTTCTGTCTTCTTTGATCATCCTGCCTCGCCATCGTTCCACATCCGACCTTATTGAAAGCCTAGGGCTTGACTTCAGCATTTCCGAAGATTCCTCTGACTCTTTTCGCACTTCTACTGTAGGTTTTTTTCCGCTAAGCTCATTCCTCACTCTGAAGCGCTCGCTTATTCCCCAGTTCATTCCAAGTTTGCCCCTCATATGAATGAAAGTACAACCCTTTTATGTAACACCGTCCTCACCCTGCAGTCGGACATAAGCGTGCATGGGTACCGCCCAGGAGGCCCGTCGCGCGGCAAGAAGGCAGAGTCGGCGGACGAGTTGCAGCGCGTGGTGTGCGATGTAGGACGTGCAGTGGGACACTCTATTTAACTTGACGCGAAATCCCTATAGTACGCGCGCGACTCGTCCGCTGACTTTGCCTTCTTGCCGTGCGCCTCCTGGGGGTACCACCACGCCGCTGTGATCCACTACCCACAGCTCTGCTGTTGTGGAGGTGACCAGCCGGCAAGAGCTACTACTATGCGCTGGAATTTCTCGTAGTAAGAGACTGATGTCATACTTCTGGACAAGGGCCAACTTGGTTCCAACACTCTTGGGTGAGGAGCAACGCGGCCACTCGGCATAGAAGTCTGCCAGATGACTCCCTTCCAAGTGAGAAAGGCAATCTTCCCAAAAAATCTCACTTCCGCTCGCTAGAGTAATGGGTGGGAATGTATAAATAAAAAGCATAAAAAGTAAGTGAGTTAGTATATATAAAGCATTTCCCGATATTCCTTTTACTTTTCTTTTTCTTCTCATTTTTCTATGTGAATGGATTAAGTTTCTGTTCTTTCGCAGACAAGGAGCATATTCAAGAAATTGCCAGACGAAGTGTAGGCTGACGGCTTAGGCCATCTATACTTCTCAACTAAATCATAACTGACCCACTAACTCTGTTATACGAGTTTAGGGGTTGTTAGTTAGTTTTTTTCGTCTAAACATACTTGTACCGAACTAACACTATTGCCTTACAACAGGGCGTTGTAGCGCACCATTGAGGGCATAAAAAAATAAATAAATAAAATATCTAGAATGGCATTGTTGCTCTCAAGGTGGCCAACTGGCCTTCGAGAAAGACGATCTGGACTGTTTTTCTACAGTTTTGATGATTAGTGGATCCTGATTCTTTGTATGAAGAGCTTAACTGAGGTTTTGTACTCAAAGGAAAGCCATGGGTTAACAAAAGGTACCCAAGTGAACTCCCATGATACTCTACCTGTAACTTTCTGGCGCGCTAAGAGAACAAAGAGTCCAAGTCCTAGACCTATGCAAATAAGTTTCGCAACGCAATGTTCCAAGTTGTTTCAATGACTGCATGGCGTCTGTTTGTTCCCCAGTCTCCAAGTTTCGGTATCTTACAAAGCATTCCGACTAGCACTCACTCCGTTTCGCGCTAGATAAACCAAAAAACTCTCTCCCAGTCATTGGTGTCCAGCCTACCTTGATTCGTTTTTAATATTCTTTCTCAGCTATCTTTACACTCGGCGGGATCGGTCGAACTCGGATCAGTCAGCATTAGCTATGTATTGCTTATTATTTAAAACGGAACTATCCAATACATTCAGTGAATGAATAGGGTATTGGATTCCCGATCGTGCCACAGAGCAGCTATAGAGGAATTTGGTGTCTCACTCCCCTACAGTCCTCTATGGCACGATCGCAAATCGAATGATCTCCTCACCTGCTACAGTTTCAAACCATGTACTACAAGGCAGCCACAAATTACGGTAACAAGAGCCGTCGCATTCATATTTATTGTACTCACACTTATGAAGAAGATTTTAGAGCATCAGAGCGCGGGAAGGGCCAATTGCTAACTGCCTACATGGTAAGAATTCGCCGTTTACCACTAACATACCGCGCGGTGTGTTCGCCTATACCAGTACTTCGCCCCTTCGTCACTTCATACCTTGGGCAAATTAAGGACGTAACCTTGTCATTGATCTATACACCTTCAATAAATATGGTTGTGTTTTCTGTCTGTTTTCAGCTGTATAGATTTGGGCGGAAGTGGGGTGTAGTGGCAAGTGGCACGCTTACCACGCGAGCGGTCCGGGGATCAAATCCTGGGTCGTGAGTCGCCCGGGCCAACCAAGCCTTCCATCCCTCCGGGGTCGGTTAATTGGTACCAGACTTGTCTGGGAGGATAAAAACACTGACTTGTACATCGGCTGGCCCCCGCAAGTCATTGTATAGGCCACATCGCATTCAAACGCCACTACGAATGTACAAATGGAAGTAGAATGCGTGCCGCATCCCAAAAAGGGATTGATCAACGGCAAATGCTTTATCCTTATTCTCATAGATTTCCGTACCTCATCGTCTTAGCGCAATTTGTGGTCACCCTGATTAATCTCGGATAATAAGAGAATGATCCGTGATCCGCACTGATGCGTGCGGGATTCGATCCTATGGGCCGGCATTTGTACAATATCCTAAAAGTACAACATAACTTTCTTTTCTGCCCTATTCAATTATCGAGTACTGTGAGATCATTTTTCTACTTGCCTATAGTTCATACTTTACTACGCGTAAACCCTTTGCGCTCATGGGACCCACCGGCCCCATAATTCTTTTCCAGCTAACCATAAGCTAGCTAGTTGGTGCTAGTGCACTTCTGCGCTTAAAAGCCTCAATAAGGAAGTATTTTTGTTCCGCGATTCATAGACCTAGCAACACTCAAAACGAGTTGATTTTTTTCAAGGTAAAACTGCAAAGGAGATGGGTCCATTCGATAGTCGTGCTGTCATAGTCACAGGTAAGATCGCCCATTTTCAAAATACTTCAAGCTCATTCTCTCTAAGGAGCCTGAGGTTGATAGAAGCAAGTTCTCATCCGGCCATTCACTTCCAAGAGATTTCGGAAAATAAATATTTGAGGCTCGTCCAATGGGATTGGTCGTGCTGCTGCTGTGCTGTTTGCCAAAGAAGGTGCGAAAGTGACAATTTGTGGGAGGGATGAAAACACACTGAAAGTGAGTAAAGAAATTTTTGCTCAGCGAAAAATATTTCACAAAAATCAGTGTAACTGAATAAGAGTTAAGGAAACAAAATCGATGGTGTTGGCGGTAAATGGTGGCATTGAAAAGAACATCTTCCTGGTGCGTGGTGACATCTGCAACGAAGAGGTGATGAAAGAAATCGTTGATGGAACTGTGAACGCGTTTGGTCGACTGGACGTCTTGGTAAGTCCTTGTCCGCCAGTTGATTTGGGATTCACTGGTTCAGAATCTCGGGGGCATTCGGATTGCCAAAACCCCACTTCTCACCGGCTAAACTTATTTGAATTGCCAAGAACGACCCGTCCCCCCCCCCAAATCAGTGAGGGTACCCATTCCATAAGAGGGGATCCTCCCAAGGACCATTTGATGCACCGATGCACCGGAGCAGAGTAAAAAATGTGGTTGTTGGTGCAAAGCAGCCGTTGGAGCGCGATGGCTCCATAGAAAGGCTCGCCGGCGACGCGGACGCGTTCGCGTGTCGGTGACGTCATTTTGGGCGGCGGCGAGGAAACAAGGGCCGGCGTTTCAGCCAATACTTCAATACATTAGGTAGTAGAGTGCACTCATAGGAATCAACTTCAGCTTGATTTTGCGCTTCTAAGGATTCACTTGTGAGGGTATTGACTTCTTTCCTTCTATGTATTAAAGCAACAATCCAGGAACGAATTCGCGGGTAAGGACCACCTATAATGACGTTGCAGGTGAGAAGTTGGTCAATGGAGAAAGAAAAAGTAGAAAAAAACGTCGGGCAGGGGCTTAGACAGGGACTCCCCCTGCCGTTTAGGGAGACGTGTGTTGGACGAGTTGTCCGAACCTGCCCGTAGTACATGCGCTCCAATTGCAACTGCTGGCAAATAGCCATGCATGCTTGCAAATACATAACTATTTGCCAGCAATCGAAATTGAAGCGCTTCAATTGCGTTCTTATGGAATCGACCTCATACAGCGCGGCGGTCCCGCAACGACCGCTAGTCGAGCAAGCGCTCTGCACAGCTGCTTGGAGGCGGCCCCACCACGGATCGGTGGATCCGCCCCTCTGAAGGATTTCGACTGCTTCCAACGCCTTTCAGAGGTAGTTTTGAAGTTTGTGACATTTCCCATGAACTCCAATCAGGCTGAGGCATGTTTCCACCACTTGAAAACCAAATAGTTGAAACCCTGCCTGGACTGTTGCTTTACCAATAATGCGATACAACTGGAACACCACACATTTATGAATATCCATTTTCCTGCGCAAAAATAGCACCTATGTTGTGCAATCGTTTCACTCCCCGCGCTATTGATTGCCAAGGTTAGTAGAGTGCCAGCAATCTCGTTGCTATTCGAGCGAAGTGTCCGCGGAGCTGGCAGCAGCTATGACGTCACCAGCACGCGCTCGCGTCCGTGCCGCCGGTGAACTTTTCTCTCCTGCCGAGCGCGATATCGTTCAAAGTGGAGCTTCAAAATGGGAAAATTTAAAAAAAAGGATTATTTTCTCTTGACGACAACATTGCGCTAAGCAGTAGACAGCATTAAAATTTTTGGGCCTGTTTATAGTGAGAATTACTTGAAGATATGCTGTAAATACAAAAATAATTTGTTGCCACTTGCAGCTTCGTTCCCCCTCCCTCCCCTGAAATACAACGCCATTTCGCCCATCTTTTCTAAATCGCAAACTACCATCTGCCCCTTCCCCCTCCTCCTTCCCTCAAGCAGGCCAAACAAACAGGTGGCTCTGTAAACAACATGGAAATCTTTCTCACAACGTACTACCTTCCAGCTGCCACATGCTTCAGCTGGGATAATTGTGAGCAAAGCTGAAATGTTTGGGATCTTTCTAAATTCATCTGAATTTTTTACTGCACACCTCTTGTGTAGAGAACGTTGTTCACAAAGCTAACGCGGAACTATTTTTGAGTGAGGGTATTCTTTTCTTGTTGTTCTTGCCTTTATTCGCATGGAGAGGACATGAATTACCCTGAGCCGGTTCTGGGTTGCACCACGCACTTGAAGCAACACTCTCAGCAGAATCGTCTCGAAGAATCTATACATTTCATTGGGCGGCATAGAGTAGACCACGTGTAGCACAAATGCGCCGTTGTCGCGGCTCGAAAATGCACGAAAGCGAAGTTAGGGTCTTACAAAGCTGGATTGTGGGGGTGCGTGTCAACAGAATCGTCCGGAGACCCGCGCTAGTGGTCGTGGCCGCGACGGCGCGGTGGCGGTGGACGAGTTTCTGTAAGCGTCATTCTATTGTGAATGTTAAAGGGACGCCAAGCCGACTCGTCCCGCCTTTTGCTAACAATCTCATCATGAAATCCGATTTGAATAGTGTCTAATACCGCTATATAGCACGGCAGTTAATAAATAACTCAAAATAATAATACACTGACTCTAGAATCTTAGTTAGATGCAAACCAGACCTAACTAAGTACAAAACGCTCGTACGAGATTAATCTTGGGAATCATGTGAATGAAGTAGACCATGAAGAATCATTGCTCCAATCGTCAAATTCGAATAAGGCCGCGCCCATCGAAAAACTGCCGCGTTGCGACGCCGCGCAAGTGATCGCGCGCGACGACGTCACTCCGGACGATTCTGTTACCGCCGCCCGGCTTGTGGCCACTAATCTTGGCTCCTGGACGAGTTAACTTGGCTGTGTGGTGCTCGCGCAAATGGGTGGACCTTGCGCTATTGCATTGAACTGCGTCACGTTCGAAGGAATCTGAATGTTTTTAGATTGGTGCTCAAATCGTTCAGTTTTCGTATTTCATTGTTTTGCAGATGCATATGTGATTGCGTAGAAATGCAAGCTAGTTCACACAACTCGTCCAAAACGTCGGTCCCTCATTTCAAGGGAGCGGGAGTCCTGTTTGGAGGCTTACTCGCCGGGTTTCTTGTTGCATTTTTCATTTGCAATCAACTCGGCATCCGTATTTCATTGGTGACCTCCTTTACCTCACTAAATAGATTTGGGGGTGCTACTTTAACACCAATCTGAAGGGTACGCACACTTGAATGGTTCTACGTTCACAAAATAAGTTGCGCTATAAAGCCAAAAGAATTCTTCTAGAAGAATAGTAGCCCACAGTTGCGGTAGAGTTCCATTATATTGATTTATTGATTATGTTCATATCCTGCCTCAATTCGAGAGCAGTACTCTGTACTGTATTGACTGATGGTGAGTTCCGCTTCTTCGGAAGCTGACCATGTTCGATTTCTGAGAAAATCTTACTCCATTTCTTCACCCTACTCGTCTTAAAGGCAAAAGTCGGGCTCAATAAGGGGGTATTATGGCGATTGAAACTGAGTATAGAGATGCGAAGTGGAACGACAGTGGAGAAAAAACTGAGAAAAACCGTCGACAAGGCCGTTAACAAAACCCTCTTTCCCACTAGCAGTGAAGGAGGCTGGCTTGGGGAAAGAGGCACGTACAAACAAGTTTTCTGGAGATGTCAGTCGTTCTATCGGTTGATACGGCAATCAACCTAGCTGATTTCACACGTTATGCCAGCCACGCACCACTTCCGGAGGTGGGCGGTCCTGGATTGACCAGGCGGCCCTGGATTGAAACCGAACGCCCCGGGGCCTTAACGGGGTTTTTCAAGGTGGGAAGTTGCTGCAATGTGTGCAGCTACCACATACAACCTCCAGGCACGGGAATTACTTCTCTAGCGTGCCTGAGCCCGACCTTTGCCTTTAACGTGCACCTATTTAGAAAGGAACTCGGGTTACCTCCAACACCTGGTTTTGAACAGCTCGCCCTATTTATTTCCAGGTGAACAACGCGGGCGGAACCAGTGCCACCGATTTTGGAAAGCCTGAACTCGAGAGCGACTTAAGCAGTTTCGAGTACACCCTTAATCTGAACACGAAAAGGTATACGGTAGAACCCTATCACTCACATGGTCAAATCCCTGATTTTAGCGTTCTACGGCTCTGTCAAATGGCATTTCCGCATTTGGTGGAAAGCAGTGGCGAAATCGTGAACGTGGGCAGTGTTGCGGGTCTGCCAAATGGCGCAGTGAGTTGACACCTTTTAGTTTTTGATTTATATGCGAACAAATTGGATTCAGTCGATAGCGTCTCCGTACTACAGCATCGCTAAAGCAGCACAGGACCAACTGACTCGTAATCTCGCCATTTACTACATCCAGAAAGGCGTCCGAGTGAATGCGGTCAGGTGGGTGGAGAACATCCTTTGAGAATAGCAGATATCATATGGGAAAGAAATAGGGCTGATTAAGAGGGTAGAGCAGCGTATAATATGAGAAAATGGCGCTCCTGCAGCGTAAGGCCGATGTCAGACTTTGCGAATCGCGCGATTCGCTAGCGTCCGCGGTCGCGTTGCGGTACCAGCCAATTGAGTGATTCACTGGCCGCGACGCGACCGCAGACGCTAGCGAATCGCGCGATTCGCAAAGTCTGACATCGGCCTAAAGACGCACTACCAACGGTGATTTATGGTTAGAGGTGGAAAGACAAGCAGGTTCCATTATGCTGCGAGACGGTAGCGTTCCATAGAGTATGCCTTCAGCGGCCTGGTAGGATCACCCTCGCACCGCTCGTGCCGCTGCATGCCCACCCTCTCGCTTCTGGCTGTAGGTGCTTAAAATTGAGAGCTTTACCATCCGAAAAGGCACCACCAATGAAAGTCGTATCAGTGCAAAAATCAACGGGGAGAGTCCCATTTCTCGGGTTGTAGACCGCTGAGTTTTTTCACATCGTCCCTGCACCACTGATCCGCTCTACCTTCGTTGGAAGGGGGTTGCCGTTTCATCGTAAACTCCACCTTTGAACCTCGGAAAAATTTCCATATAGTTAACGGCTGTTCTTTTGTGATTGGTTTGGTATCGGATGGTCCACCGTTCGGTGGTACACAGGTGGCGCCCTGTGTGCGACTCTGTTTTATTGTGTGGGATTACATGGTACGCGTACATAAAGACGGCTTATTACAGCCCTGGAATAATATCAACAAGCATCGCACAGAAGCAAGGGATTTCGGCTGATCTCGCAAGAAAGGTAGAGTAAATCGTTGATGAAGCAAATCATTCACACCTTCTCTCATCTGCACGGCTGGCCAAAAAAGAGACACTTCACTTCACGTTTCAGACAGAATTAATCATGCTTCGCTAAACTCAACCGACTGATTCCAAGCTAATATCAAGGAGCACATCTCGTTCTATCGATAATCTTTTACCCTTTACGTACCAAGAACATCACGAGAATTTGCCACTCACACCTTCGACCGCAAGCCCACCCTCCGCAGTGCGTTGCCACGGAGGTAGGCAAACCAGCCCATTTGGCGCTTCTGCTGGAGCCACATGGGGAGGGTTATGGGGTCCCCACGGTCGACGGACTACTTCAACTCGGTCGGTACGGTAGGAGAGTAATGACGCAAGTGGTGCAGCTGGTCCAGCAGCTCCGCCAAAAGGGCTGGTTTGCTTACCCCAGGACTAAGCCTTGGAGAGAGGACGGACCTGCGCTCTCTCGCAGGTCCGTCCTCTCTTTAAGGCTTAGTCCTGAGGTAAGCATCAAATTGAGGCGGTTTAAGGACCGAGTTGAAGTAGTCCGTCGACCGTCGGGGACCCCATCCCCTCCCCAACATTCAGCATACGGCCCCAGCAGAAACGCCAAAAGGGCTTCTTTGCTTACTTCGTTACCACGTGGCGCTGCTTGAAAACGCGGGCGCATTTGAGGCAGCGGTCCCATTGCGACCCAATGTTATTGGCACTGGAGCAACTAGAGTTAGGTTCGTGAAACTCGTCCAACGCGCCCTTCTCTATCCCAAGGTGGAATGTGGCTGAAATAGGGGAGGTCTCTGTGCGGGGCGTAATCGGTGGTTTCGTTTGCTTTCCTTCTCTTTTCCAGACCACCTCCCACCTATAGCTTCATAACTGAACGCTTTTCCACACCTATTTTATCCCAAATCTTGCCTTCAACCAATAGAAGAAATTTCGTATAAGCTTATGGCTGGAACGTTCCTTTGAGGCGATGACGTCATATTTTAAGAACGGTGGGGGTGGTGGAAGAGGGCCTGCTTCTACTTATGGGAGGACATAAGGGATATTTTGCCGTAAAACTTTCATCAACAGCGGCACCCTGTGCGACGAAAAGTTTGATGATGTGCGCCATGGGTAAAAGTCTCTTTTTTTGCCACCCCTGTACATTTGAAATCGCTTCGTGGTATTTCTATTCATAACAATTACCCTTAATGTGCTTTCAGGCAGAGAAGGAAATCGCTGCTTCGCCCTCACGTGTCCCGTGTGGGCGCCCTGGAACTTCAGATGAAGTAGCCGAAGCGATTCTTTTCCTGGCCGATAGGTGGGTCTCTGAAAGTTGCTGTTTCTGATTCAATGGTCTCTTACGGTTGCGTTCACACTCAACGAAATTAGCCGGCTGCCTGTGAACAGTCAAGTTCCAGTTCCCCTCTACTCGGATAGAATGAAATGAAAAGAAATAGAACTCTTTTGTGGCTGCCGTTCTTCACCATCTGTTTTCCCCTACAGATGAATATTTTTTATTATTCGAATGTCATTCAGGGACCGTCGCCAGCTAAGGCCGATGTCAGACTTTGCGAATCGCGCGATTCGCTAGCGTCTGCGGTCGCGTCGCGGCCAGTGAATCACTCAATTGGCTGGTACCGCAACGCGACCGCGGACGCTAGCGAATCGCGCGATTCGCAAAGTCTGACATCGGCCTAAACTAGCCAGGAGGAGCGACCTCCGTGCAAGCCTCATTCGAGTATGAAAGCTTCTACGCTGAAGTAGGGGAAATATACGTTCTAGGGAGACAGACCCTCCCTGGATGTAGAGATATGTCCTCGGCGATCTAGCAGGGTCGTACCCGCGCCGCTCCATTCCCACCAATTGGCTGACCTTCGCCGTCTGACTCTAGAGGCTCCAGCAGAGAGAGAAAGAGAGAGAGAACGTTGATGAGGGTAGCACCAACGGGACTTGCAGCAATGCGAAATCAACAGGCAAAGAAGGTTAGACCGCTTTTTCCAGTTGTCATTTGTAATTGGCCGTTGCTGTTTCTTCGTATATCCGACTTTGACTGCGACGCGGTCGCTCGCGCGCGTTTAGGGTTTCGCGCACTTTTGAGTAAAAGCATAGGAAATGATGTTCTATGGAAGAACAGAAATGGGGTTCGTTGCAAAAATTGTGATAATTTAGGCAAAGATCGAGCTACATAGTTGGTCACCTACTTGTAATCGATGGTGGCTCGTCCCTACAAATGGGACTGGTTGCCGATGGATTCCAAATCTTCGCTGATGTGCTCGGCGGTCCATCGCCGCCAAAAGCGTGAAACTAAAAACTTGTTCGCTACTTCATTGTATGTGGAAAATAGGAGTTTTATTTTTTTGTGGATAAATCGTTGATTTTCCAGGAGTGAGAGTTTCTCAAGAGTTTTATAAAATAACGTGCATTTAATGTACGTACGCTAGGTGAAGAGGAGGAGGAAGGAGATAATTTTCGGACAGAGACGATTTTTTAAAATTCGTATCCTTATAAGGGCTTGATCGCCCAAAGTTCATTCCTTATCCTTACCTTACTAGTCCTCCCTTATTAATCCGCGTACAAGTGCGGAACAAGGCCATTTCCATAAGCCAATTCATCACATTGCCAGCACAGATAGAGGGGAGGAGTTGGTGAGGACAACACCCCGTAGCCCGGTTGAGTGGAATTGCGGGGGTTCAAGCTTGTAGTCTGAGGTGGACGTGGTCAGCGAGATGAGCTTGAGCCCCCGCAATTCCACTCAACCGGGCTACGGGGTATTGTCAACCAGCGCGTGAGAGACCGGACAGAAAAGCACATGTTGTGGTTTTTAAAGACTAAGCCTTTCTGAAGGAAGGAAAGAAAGCAGAGATGCTGTAATAGTGTGGATGTGCGAGAGTACCCAGAGAACACTACAATTTGCTGAATCACCAAGCCTCCCATCTGACAACTGCCCCTGGACGACTTAACCCATTTGGGACTGGGACTCAGGCGATTGTAAAATATCGGCCGCGGTGAATGACACTGTCGTTCATCCCCCCCACAACTCCATTCGAAAACTGAATTTAAAGAAAAAAGATTTTAAAAAATTTTCCAGCAGGATTCTTCATCGTTATTCACAAATTGACGCTCTTTTGGTGGGCGCCGGCACCGAATTTGCGCCGAGTTGCACTAAATTGTCGCAATACCTTACTATCATAATATCAGTATTCTGATGATAAATTGGCAATCTCCCTTAGGCAAAAAATGAAGGCGTATATTCGCGATTAAGATCATTAGTCAACTAGTAGAAAAATGTTTTGTGGGAATGCTTTTCTGAAATTTCAAACTTTGAAAGGCAAATTTTGGTGGTATTGAAGGGTATTGGAATAGGTTCTTCAACGAAACTGACGTGAATACAATCCCATCATTCCCGCTGGACCAAATATGTTGAGGGTCCCTAATCGTTGATTCTCGTGATGAAAAATCACCTGCGATGGGGTCTCTCAGCTTTTATTCGGGCAAGCGCAGGATTGGGGGAAGTTAATGTTTCTGAGTAGTGTTGCAAATTTTTTTTTGATTTCTGTGACTTTCGGAAAGAAACATTGAAAGATTCTTGATGGAATGCATGCATTGAGTCATCAAGTCATGCTATCAGATGAAGAGGGGAGACTGAGATTCTCTTTTGTGACACATTGCAGCTGCGTACTGTGGTCGCGCACAGCTGCACGTTTTTTCTTACGTCGACTTCCTGACTTGAAGTCCATGTGGTTCATTCCATCATCTAGCATTCACTACTTGTCTCGTTTTGATATTTAGAGCCTCATTATCACACCACAGATGTTGCCAGGTGCCGTTGACTACCTTGCCAATAGCATGATTTTCCAAATCGCTCCAGCATCCACTTTTCTCCTCAGCTTAATTCCGCGTCGTCGCATTCTTGTTAGACCGTGCCACTTTGTCCTATCCGAGCTGCTCCTGCTTCAATGAGGCCCACCGTGGTGACGTTCCTCCACCTCCTCTTCGGGGCTCCTCGCCTTCGCTTACCCGGGACTTCAAAATCTGCGGCTTACTTATCGGGTGATCGTGATTCCTCCCATACCATCGATCCCCATACCATCGTAGTCACTTTCCCCGCTCCTTTACTTGGACATGTTATAAGTTTACAGATTCGCTCTGACTCATTGAACCGTGTTTTCCTCAGGAACCAACCACCAACAAAAAGTCATCTCGGGCATCGTCATTTCAGCAAAGTGAAGCCGATTTGCTCTTGATCGAACTGCGCTGCGTTCATCCAGTAGTGTATTGCCAGGTCCACAGTACCATCAGCGGCGATATCGCTATCCAGGAACCATGAGTCGTCGCTATCGTAAGATATGGTGGGGACCAAGCCTCAGGCGGCGGAGGACAGGCTCCAGGATGGGCAATTCTTATTCGTTTTGGAATTCCTGCCCCGTCCTAGGCTCGGTCTAAGAAGACGTTTCCACCCTTCCCCTACATATCTTGTGATAGCGCCCATTAATCTTCCACTCAATCTTTTCTCCATGGCTAAGATCATGATTGACGCTCCAGCTTCACCGTTTGGCCGGAGGAAAATGTGGTTCAAGAGCTTCATAATGGCTGTCGCAGCCTTTTTGTCCATCATATCTTATCATCCGTAGAAGTAGCCCCAGGGGAGGATTTAGGCAAACCGTAGGTGATCCAGCAGCCGTGATATAGAATGTCACAGTATATGTCATAGCCGATGGTTACAGTCAGCCATTCGGCCCAACAAGGCCGTTGGTTTCGTGAAGATACATGTTATCATATCTGCTCCCTTATTCATCATTCCCATTCTTATCATCGCGCCAAATTTTTTACACGCATTTTTCCTTAGAGACCATTCACTCTCGTTCCCTCAGGTCAGGCGTGGAAATTTTCTTGAAATTATTTGTTGATGGACTTTCTTAACCCCAGCAACTGTATTATCTGAATACTGTTTAGAGTTACGAGTTAGAGGTACAGTTTAGACTCGAGCGAGACAATGAAAACGTTCAGGGGATTTTTCTCCATGACCCTGGAAGTACGGTAGCTCACGGCCAGGTCAACAGTCCGTTATTCTCGTCCCAGAAACTTCACTGCATACTCAGAACGGCTAAGGTCTCGATATAAGCTCCTACCCACTCTTACTATCAGAGCTGTTTTTGTATTATTATTATGTCTCTGCTTCGAGATAACTGGAACCGCTAACTCTTCAGCTTCCACGAGCACGACCTCCTCCTTCAATACTTTGACCGTCGTCAGCCTCAACTACACTCCTCTCCAAGCACCTTGAATTCCACTCCGCTTTGAGAACTGCTCAACGCACAGCTGACCTTGCCAAACGGCGCTGGATGTTTTTAGAATTCGTGGTGCTAATGCGAACATTTTCCAGTTATCGCAGTCAAATATAAGCCAGATGACTAAGACTCGAACCACACAACCCGGAGCAGAAATACCACGGGAGCCAAAGGAAAGCAGCGTATTCGACGCTCAGAGGCTTAAGTGTCTGGCGACGACGGATAAACTCGTATTGCGCAAGGTATGGCACATAAAGGTTTGGCCCCGCATTGCGGTATTGCGATCTATTAGGTTGGAAAGAAAGTCCTGCAACACTTTTTCAAATTTTTTGATTTTAATTTTATCTTTTTTGTTTACAACTCCTGACCGGTCATATATCTACCATGAGTGTCCACCACTTGTCTTCAACGCTCAGAAAATTTCTTGATGCTCCTTTGCCAAAACCCAGCGGAGTGCGGGTCGAGAAAGGAGGCGACCTCACTTTCGAGTTGGAGTTGATCGTCTAATTATTTCGTCATCAAGATGATGATTTAAGGTCCAGGATAGGTGGCAGTCATTTATAGCTCGACCAGGGGATTACGCTAAGAGAGGTAAGAAATCTTAC